ATCAAATAATTTGTATAAATTATTTTTAATTACCTATATTTTATTTCAGATTAGTGCATTTAAAGGAATTGTTGGAAATGAAGCAATTTGCCAGCTTTGGGGCTGTGCCAGTAAAAATAACAAAGTTATTCAACGTTTCCAGAATAAATTATTAAGGAACATCGTCGACGCATCCTGGTACTGCCATAATACTGATCTTCATAGGGACCTTAAAGTGGAGACTATTGAAAATACAATACAAAAATTTGCCAGTAGTCACCAACGACTGCTCCAACATGGAAACCTTGAGATTATCCAGCTCCTCAATAATGCCAATCTAATAAGAAGATTCAAGAGAACCAGGCCTTTTGAGTTCGTTCAGTGATGTTAGATTAAAACAGAGTATAGTGCGGTTAAGTGTTATACGTTAAACGGTAGTGTTACTAAATAATTAGACTCTAAAGTACACTATATAGTGAGTAGAATCTTAGTTTAGGAAGTTTTTTATCCCTAGATAAGTTAGGTAAAAATAAAATTGCTAACTGATCTTAATGATTAGATTATAATAATCGTAAATGTTTTTTACTTGGAGCATTTATTAAAAAAAAACACACAGTTGTTTCAAATTAGTGCATTTAAAGGAATTGGTGGAAATGAAGCAATTCACTTGTATATTTTATGAAATATTCTTTAAAACACATTTGTTTGTTTAAGAATCAATGTTTGAGTTTTGTGTATTTTAAATAAACATATATTTTTAAATGTATTTTTTTAGTCTAATAATATATTAGAAAAAAAAAAACTAGAATACATTTCTGAAATATTACTATTTAATATTTCTAATTTTCATTTCATAAATAATACTGTGAAATATTAAGAGGACCTTTTTACGTTTCAAGCATATTTCAGAAATGTTTCTGGGATGTTTCATAATATTTATACAACATTGCAAATGTTTCAATGTAACATTGTTGAAATATTTCTGAAATGTTTGTGCTGTGTGGAATATTTCCACAATATTTATGGATGTGTGCGGAATTGTGTACTTCGACATTTAAAAAATAATTCAGAAAATGATTTTCTGTAGTGGCTGGCCATCAAAAACCTCATTAGTTGCAAAAACAATTAGTTTCACCTGTCAACCGATGATATATGTGGCTTGTAAAATAACACAAACAGAAATTGAATTTAAATGTGTTATAAAATTATATATGGATTCCCTTCCAACTTGATTTTATCATTTCAGATCTTCTCCAATATCAACGACTATAAGTAGTCCAGAGGCAAAATTTTTGCTTGAAAAGAAAATTAGCAAATTTTACAAAACTCAGGACATCTTTCAAATTTAACTTTTATCCCAAACAGCACAGTACGTCTTAAGTAAGTACAGTTTTGGTACTGTACGTACAGGACGTAAAATGTACGTTTTAAGTACGTACACAACAGTACGTACCAGTATAGAGAAAGTAAAAGTTGAAAAGTCTTTTGGTAAGTAGAGAGGGGGTAAACGTCAAACCACGTCGGGCGACTCCGAGAATTTCACAGTAATTTTTACCTGCCAGTGTCGTTTCATAGAATAAGTAATTTTAAATTGTTATCGGCGGAACCGGACAATCGCATGTATTTATGGATTATAAATAATTATTAAACATGTATTATAATATTCTAATTATAATTTTACAAAATTTCAACAGCTATTCACAATTTATTAAACTATTTACTCGAAATTGTTATTAACATCTATAAAATAATTTTGTACGCCAATGTATCGCGTCCACTTCGGTGAGATCCGCTGACAACCTGTCAATTTATGTGTATAAAGTGGGAGAACTGGCAAAAGCATTTCCAACTTTTACTTCTGTTCTACGTACAGAAAAGTACGTACCTAAGTGTACGTAATCCTGGTTGCATACCTATTTTATTAAAAAACCTATGTTTTTACCAAATTTCTGTTGACCGTAGGCCAAAAAATGCAAAGAAAAAAGACGAAACCCAATTTATTTAACCTAAACTCTAAACTAAACTCGCTCGTTTTTTTAAATGTTGCAATGCAAGCAACCACGTTTCAACAGATTTTTTTTGTTAGTTTTTCATGTTTAGAATTTAACTATTAAGTGTTTCATTAAATAAATAGTTGTGTATAATTTATTATAATTGAACAAGACAGTTATTTAGACTTTTTAGTGCGTGTTATAAGTACGTAGTTTTGTCATTTTATTCTGATGAGTGGTTTCATTTTAATTTTAAAAAATTATGTGTAATAAATATAATTTATAGATATGTCATCCCATCATAGTAAACATTACAAAAATGCTACAAAACAATTAAAAAAGTTTAAGGAAATGAATAAACAGGAGGTATCTAATATTTTAGACAAGAAGTGATATTTTACAAACTCTAATAATTTAATTTTGGATTTTGTCAAAAGGACTATTGCTGGTGCCTTAATAACTAATAAGCTGGCAACAAATTATAATTGGCTGCAGTTGAAGTGGGTAAGATGTTTTAATTTTTTATTTTTGCATGCCAGTTTTCATAAAGTCGTTGCATTAAAACCCATCTATCTAGTCACAATTATTGGTAATGTTGTAGTTGAAGGGTCTGGAAATGCGCCAGTCCGCACCATTGCTGTTCCGGCTAGTTCTGTCAGTTGGAATCGTTACATAGTTGCCAGGTTATATTGAATTATTTGGAACCAGGGAATAAGCAGATTGAAATAATTATTTTACTTTTAATCATCTATTTACCAATTTTTACATTGATTAAAAATCCCATAAAAATAAAAAAATTCTAAAGATTTTCAAGTAATACGATCGTTATTTTTAATGGCAATAATACCTTTCAATAGTGATAATTACAAAATTTAAATTTAAAATCTATCAAAACTGTCTTATAAAACAAAACAGAATTGTTATTTCAAAATATAATATAAATCTTTATATTTATTTATCATACATTTTAATTTACAGAGGTTACAATTTGTCTAAATAATAAACTATGAAATAAAGCAAGCTAAAATGAAAGTGGAGATTTGGCTACGTGGCTTGAGCAAATTCAAATTCTAGACGTCAGTGCAGTGTGAATATGGGCATTTCTTGACCTGTCAACTACAACATTACCCAATTATTTTTGTTTCTAATGAAATTGTGTACTTCCAACCATTGGACTTCAAAACTGATGGAGATCTAGCTTAACAAAAAGAAATATAGGAGTTCCAATATTATAGAACAGTGGCAGGAACGAATTGGATTTCAAAGGCATAAGGCCAAAACAGGTGGATACAAATGAGAGAGGTTTATATCCAGGAGTATATTGACAATGATAATTTTGAGTTGTAGAAACTATCGCTTACTTTTCTCTACATCTTTTTGTTGTATTGTTTTTATTATAAAAAGTACCAAAGTTAAGTTTCTAATTTGAAATTATTTCTTTGCAGAAGGTGCTATAAAAAGTAACAAATGCAAAGAGAAGAAAGTTTGTAGAACAGGAAATTGTGAGATGGCTAAGAAGAGCTGATGATAGCCTAAAAACTTTCAAAAAGATAGCAAAACAATTTAAATTATTCTTTTAATGTAAAAAATTAAATAAATACAAATTAACTTGTTTACTTTTCTTTTTATTGCACTAATACGTACATTATACATCATAAGTAAGTACCAATAAGGATGTATAGTACGTCTAAAATATATACTCTATTGGATTAAGTACAAACATAGTACGTACATTATGTATATACAGAGTACGTACATTAGGTACGTACAGAGTACGTACTTTAAGTACACGTACTAGGTACGTACCGTCGTTTGGAAAATGTACGTATTATGTACGTACTTCGTACAGTAAAGTACGTACTTTACGTCCCATCAGTACGTCTTATGTACGTAAGTGTGTTTGCTGGGATGCTCTCACTGTTTATGTATACAGTGAGCATCATAAGTCTTACCCCCCTAACTAACTCGTTACTGGGGTCTTGTTAGGAAAATCGCCGAGACAGGTCGATTTTTGATTTCTACAATGTACATTTTTGCATGATTAGTTTACCCTTAATTTCATCCCTTACTGAAGGGTAGCAACCCTTTCGAAAAATTTAAATGACATGGGGTAGTGAGTGATAGCTCATTTGAGAGGGGGTTTTATTCTCTATTCAACCGTGCAAAAAAATTTGAAATTTGCTTCATTACGTGTTGATTTATTAATGTTTAAAATTAACAAAACCTTACAAAATAGGAAAGCAACTAGACTAACAGTGACCTTCTAATGGCAAAAAGTCTTACTTCACGCCTGAACCAAAACCGAAATCATGCAGGGCCGAATTTTAATTCTAAGGATGAGTGCGCTACGTTAATTTCCGTTATTCTGAAACAATAATTAGTCGAGAATTAATGAAGCAAATTTCACATTTTTTACACGGTTGAATAGAGAATAAAACCCTCTTTCAAATGAGCTATCACTCACCATTTAAATTTTTCGAAAGGGTTGCTCCCCTCCAGTAAGGGATGAAATTAAGGGTAAACTATTCATACAAAAATGTACAATGTAGAAATCAAAAATCGAAGTGTCTCGGCGATTTTCCTAACAAGACTCCAGTAACGAGTTAGATAGGGGGTAAGACTTATAGTGCTCACTGTATAAAAAGTGTTTATTAAATCAGTCGAAAAAATTCAGATTTGAAACGGTTATCTATTTTCAAAAACTTTATTTTAGATGTACATCAAAATGTATAAATTAATTTAATAAATAAAGCCGGCCCTGTCCATAACGTAATGGTGCTGCTACTCGGCTATGTCAGCTATTTACTGCGCATGAATATTAACCTTAAAGTGACGTAATGCGCTAAATCAAAACGGCACACTTTTTGGTATTAGGAATAGCGTTCCATTGTAACAGTATAGAGTTTAGTGGATAAAATTAAATACGAATCTAGTTTTTAAATTTTTATTAACAACTTATTCCGTACAAAACAGATCAAGTGGTACAATTAAATAACGGAAAATCATACTTTCTTCAGTTTTTACACAAGAATTCCGACAGCCCTTTGTACAAAAATAAAAAAATCTATAGTTTAAAACTTCTCAAAATCCCAGTTGTTATTCAATTAGTTTCTTCGCCTTGAAGTACGTTCTCAAGTAAAGGACCTGCCATGTAGCCAGAGCAAGTAAACAGCACATCGAAAAGATCGAGAAATATAGCACGCGACTGTTCGTTGATTCTGGAAAATAAAAATATGATAAAAATATGATAAAAACATTTATCAAGCATGTCATTTGATGTATTTACCATTTGTGTCTCTCATTTCTTCTTCTCGTTTTCTCATTATGGCGAAGTCTTGAACAATAGCTTCTGAAAGATCTTCCAGTCTCTTCAGTTCTTTTTCTATGGGCTTCAGTTGAGCTGCCTCGCCATACTGTGTAAATAATTTAAAATACATTACAAAATTGTGGAAAATATTAAATAAGTATTTGCAGTATCCAATGGTATCAAGGAAGTGTAAGAATAATCCATAACAAAGTTATTCTAATCAGAGCTGGGCAGAGTACTGTATTAAAGCACTCATGAGTACTTCACAACGAGTGGCTTTACAAGTACTCATAAGTATCTGAGAATGAGTACTCAATAATACTCAAAGAAAATGAGTACTTTTGTAATTTTTAGGGAGTACTCTTGAAAAAATCTAGTAACGAGTATGAGTACCTTACCTATTTTAAATAATTCTAGTTAGCGACTTACGTTTAGGAAAAAGTCAGTAACAAACAAAAAACGAGAGTTTCACTTATCTTCTATAAATTAGTTAGCACTTACCATTAACGTGTACGCCCAACTTTTCATTTTAATGTTAAAGTAATAAAAATATTAGGTAGGGGCAGAGATACAGATAGAGAATACTCAAAAGAACAGTCATATATTTTAAAACATATGTTGCCATCGTTCAGTCATTTTCCAACCTGTATCGTTGGCGTCGACAAGTTATTCTTAATTGTCTTATGGTTGTGACGCCGAGGAAAGAGCGGCTCCAAACGAATTTTCGGGGGGGGGGGTCATTGCCTTTGCCATTCCCTTTTTAGCATATTTTTTTGAACAAATGGCCCATACATCGTAAGAATTTTCATCTCGGGGGTGGGGGCGAGGATGCATGAGCCATGACCCCCCTGGAGCCGCCCTTGCGCCGAGGGTAGTGGTATTTTGAAAATTAATGGAATGGTCAGATATATTTTGGGAAGATTGACAGAAGGTTTTAGGGAAATTTAAATAAAAGTCAGAAAATATTGTATTGAAAGTTAAGATAGTCAAAACTTTTATATCGTAGAGAGAAATTAAAAAAGAATAAAAGGAAAGATGAAGAAAGTTTTATATAAATTCACACTTTTCTTTAATTTGAGCCAGCGGTTTTGTAACAAAGCAAGTATTCAATACATTGTACATAGATGGCGATAACTGTATCGCTAGCTCGATTTATAATTTTATTTTTAAGTGTACTTGTTTTTATATCCAGGTTGTCAAATCTAGGCACACAGATACCAATAAATATTTTAGGGTATGGTCCGTTATTAACCAAAATATCGGTTACTTGGTCCAAAACTAAAGGCTCTGCGGACATTCCTGAAAAATCGGTTAAATTAGGGACGCGGTCACCTGAAAATGGTGACTCAAACGTCAATTCACTAACCGCTATATTTTTACGGTTACCATTAAGTCGAATGTCAATCTGTCACAAAATTGATGCAACTCTCAAGCCATGGTCCAAAAGTAACCAACAAATTGGTGTTTTTCCGAAACCGCTGTCAAAAAATCCTGGTTACTTGAGGTTAGTAGTTGGTTAATAACGGACCATATACAAAAACAGAGAGATGCATGGAGATCCTACTGCGAAGAAATCGAAGATTTCCCGCAGGCAGCGAGGCTTCAAAAAGCTCTCTCAAAAGATCCACACCGAAGCATTGGTGCGCTAATCAAAGAGGATTGCACAAAAACTGCCAACCTCGAAGATAGCATCAAACTTCTGCTGTCAACACACTTCCCTGACTCGGTCATCACAGACGTGGCCGACTGGGCAGAGGAAGAATACAGTCCATCTGTCTATGATTGGCAAACTGCCAAACACATTGTAGACGATGAAAAAATTAGATGGGCAATATCCAGCTTCTCTCCATTTAAATCGCCAGGACCTGACGGTATCTATCCAGCCCTACTTCAGTGGGGTCTGGAAGAACTCACGCCGCAACTGGTGGGTATATTCAGATCCTCGTTGGCTCTGAGGTATATCCCCAAAAAACGGAGAGAGGTAAAAGTGGTATTTATACCCAAACCTGGAAGGATGGATTACACTGTACCAAAAACATACCGACCAATTAGTCTGATATCGTTTTCCATGAAGACATTGGAAAGACTATGCGAAAGGTACATAAGAGATGCGGTGATTACAACAACACCACTACACCCAAACCAACATGCATACACCCCAGGCAGATCTACTGATTCAGCCCTTCATCTAGTTGCTGGCCGGATAGAAAGATCCCTGGACAATAAGGAGTCCGCCTTGGGTGTTTCCATAGACATAGAAGGTGCTTTTGATAAAACCACCTTCCCAAAGATAATACACTCACTAACCAACAGGAATGTACCACAAATGGTTAGTGGGTGAATACATAACATGCTCTCAAAGCGAGCAGTAAACAAGTGTAGAAGATGTGAATATAAGACGCTTGGTTGCGAGGGGATGTCCACAGGGAGGGGTGCTATCACCTCTACTGTGGAATATGGTCCTCGACACCCTTATCAGCCGCCTCAATAATGACAGTCACTACACAATCGCATATGCAGATGACCTGGTCATTCTGCAAACAGGGAATTTTGAGAACATACTCTGCGAAAGAATGCAAGTAGTTCTAAAAATTATAGAACAGTGGTGCAAGGACCATTCACTGTCTATCAATCCTAAGAAGACAGAAATGGTCCTTTTCACAAGGAAAAGGATGAAAATGGAATTAAAACCTCCAGAACTCCTAAACACAAAACTAAACTTTGCGACAGAGGTGAAGTACCTAAGTCTCACCTTTGACAGCAATTTAAGATGGAATTCGCATTTAGAAAACAGAGTTAAAAGAGCATACATTGCTTATGAACAATGCCGCCGTACTGTGGGACGCACCTGGGGTTTCTCCCCCAGAGTCGTCGCATGGACTTACACGGCTATCATAATACCTATGCTAACATACGGTGCAGTTGTTTGGGTACCGAAAACCTAAAAATTAACAGCTATCCGTAAACTAGAACAAATTTAAAGAACAGCATGTCTCAACATAACAGGAGCCATGAAAACAACGACTAGAGCGATGGAAGTCATTCTTAGTCTCACTCCCCTTGATATTTACATCAAGGAGGATGCTCTGACGACCATCACGCGCCTCCGCACGGTCGGAATAGAACCTGATGTAGGATCTGGTGAGGCGAGACGTCACTTTTGGCAGGAGGCGCTCGATACGCTCCCACTGCTTCAAGCGAACATGAACTCACCGAGATATATCTTCCATAAGCCATATAAAGTTATAATAGAACAAATAGAAGAGCCAGAAGTGGCAGGTACGATTCATATCTACACCGACGGTTCTAAAACAAAACAAGGCTCAGGATGCGGAATATACTCCAGATTCTTAAACCTAAACATAAAATGGGCTGTGAGCAATAGTGCTAGTGTAGTTCAAACAGAGCTAACGGGGATTCTCATAGCAGCAAAAGAAATAACCAGAAATAATATCACTGGAAGGAACATGCTCATCTATACAGATAGCAGACAAGCACTACTCACCCTGAACAGACCACGAATTTATTCAGGGTTAGTACTAGAATGTCATGAAGCTTTGGCCGAAGTATCCATCAACAATGTGGTCACCTTAAGATGGATCAAAGGTCACGCCGATTCACTAGCCAAGAAAGCAGCCAACCAAATACTTTTTGGACCTGTCCCTTCTATTGGCCTGACAAAATCGGTAGTGACAGACCTAATTAAAGAACATTCCCTTGTGAAATTCAAGGAAAGATGGGATGAAACAAGAAACTGCAGAGTTGCCAGGGAGCTCTTAAGTTATCCTGACAACACTGCAGCAAACAAATACTTGACTATGACTAGACAGAATCTGCGTCTGGTCACAAGCATTCTGACTGGTCATTGCCAAGTACGGAAGCATCTCCATATTATGGGGATGTCAGAATCCGCACTCTGCAGAGGGTGCGAACAAGAAGATGAGATCATCAAGCATATCCTTTACGATTGCCCGACGCTCTCATTTATTAGAAGATTTGTGTTCGGCGAGTATCGGCTAACACCGGCCGATATAAGAGAAGCACCTCTTGGCGACGTTGTCAACTACATTAAATCTGTAGGCTGGCTCACGAGCTAGGAGGTGCCTATCATCTTAGGAGGATGCACAATGGGTCTAATGAGGCCTAAGTGCCATGGGGGGTAACCCACCCTCCACACGTTACAGATAGAGAACGGACCATACCCTTTTAAAACAATAATATATTTGGCGATATTTATTTTCAATTAATTGCACTGTAACATGAAAAATTAATCTGTCCAAACTTTACCTACTTGATAAGTAGTAAGTAGGTTAAATGTGACAAAAACAAAAAAAAAACATCAAATTTTACTTTAGAATGATGTTTTAATATTTATTCACATTACTGGTATATTGTATTCACTTGTAAACTATTTGATGGTCATAATAATTTTAATCCTAAAGAACAGGGTCAATTGAACTTTTCCACATCGCAATTTTTGCGTTGGAGTGAAAGGTATTTTTTTACTTTATGGTTTTTCCTATTTAGAAGGGTTTTGTTTACATTATACCTAAAAATTTGCAAAACTTCTAAATTATTTTATATTTTGAATGTTTCATCGATTCGATTCCGTAATAAAATAATTTGATTTTTCTTATGCGTACCTATTAAGTATAAGTAATAGGTATCTCTAAAATGCATCATAATATTAATTATGTAAAAATAATATTTGACAAGAACATGATCACTTATGCTTTTGTTTATGACAATTTGTAAAAATGAAAAATCGATTATATCGATTATAATGAGAAATTCGAAACTATGCAACCGACAAGCCAAAAAAACTTGCGAATGTCTAAACACCCAAAAAAAAAACGTAAAGTAAAATGTAAACAGTTCATTTTTCGTGTTTGAGTGGGTTTTAATATTTTTTGTGCTTTTTTAGTTATTTGTCACTTTTACAAGACTCTTCTTTTAGTTACAAGAATGTATTTAGTGATAGTACGTTTTAGTAGTTAATGTATAAACTTTTATCTCATAAAATATGGGGCGTCATACAAATGTCCCGAGTAGAAAGGATTTGAGCAAAACTAAATAAATCCATTTTTATTTGCTATATGTTTTACAATAAAAAAAAATAAAATTGTAATTGGAAAGGATGTATTTATTATTAATGATTTCTCCAATATTATTTTCTAACAAAACAAACAAAAAAACAGTATTTTTTGTGCAATTGGAAAATCGTGTTTTCCCAAAAATCTTTTTGTTCAAAGCTCCTCAATGAATAAAAGTGTAACACAAATTTAATGTTAAAAGATATATAAAGGATTAATTTCCAATATTTTTGACAAATCTATTTTATAATTTAGGTTGTTTTTAATGTAACATAATATTATGTTAGTACCAATGCATCATCTTTTTTCTAACAAACTACTTTTTAATCGTTTTTTACCTAATTATTTTTATATTTCCTTTCCACCCATGCCCCCTCAATAATTATTTTACTTAAAAAAAAATATTTATAGGTAGTTTTGCATTAATTTTTATTAAAATTGATCATAAACCAATACATTTAACATTAATAAAACTGATTATAATAACTACTTTTCAGTATATAATTAATAACAATTAAAATCAAACGTAAGCTCAAAATTATTCTTACAGAAAAATATCCATTAGTCTTCATGGCACGTCTATGACATACAGTAAGTGCCATAAACTTGGGTCCAAATATGGGAATTTGTTTTAATATTATGACTGAAAAAAAAAAACGTCATAGGACATTCACCTCAACTCATTTAAAAACTTAAAATAACACATATCAAAGTTGGCTACTTGCATTAATTATCTATTAAATTTGCAATATCTTTGAAGAATCGGTTAAAAATCACTTTTTTTGAATGAGAGATAACTAATGCCAGTAGTCAAATTTGATATGGACTATTTTAAATTTGGAAATAACCAGAGGTGATTGCCCTACGAGGTTTTTTTTTTAAATTGTAATATTAAAAAAAAACATATGGAACCAACTTTATGGCACACACTGTATAATGCAGGTTTGTGAACATGCAAAACTATATTTTTCTTTTTTTTTATTCTTACCAACCTTTAGACGAACCATTTGCGCAGAAAAGTTTTCAACAAAATTGCTTGTGCCTTAAAACCTTCCCGATTTTGTCACACTATAAATATCTTTAAAACCTTTGTGAAAATATACAGAACGGCAACGTCGTATCATATCCAAGTATATTTGGTCAACCATTATTTTGAGATATGACGTTTGCTTTTCTGATTGGTCAACCATTATTTGTCGCACAAGATTCAATAGATATGTAACTCAGCCTTGCGTGTCGCATTGGTGGTGAACACGGTGTACTAAAATGACATGATAATTAGCGCGTCAATTTTAAAAAATATGTCAAAATTTGCAAATTGAAATCATGCCTTTGTAATAATTATCAAACATACAGCCTTCATATTGTGGAAAAGTTAATAACAAATGATAGAGAATTCATTGAAAATAATTTGCTTATTAATCCTTGCAATAAAATTTAAGTTTTTAATGATAATGTGAAATTATGAATAGATATTATGGAATATGTTTATGTTCAATTAATTCTTAAAACATTGCTGTTGACGATTATATCGCAATTTCCTTGTAATTTTGCTTTATTATTATAAAAAGCATGATTTAATAACATGTTGTTAAATGACAGAAACGACCGCCATTTTTAGTTCATTTCCCAGCCTTAAGTCTGAATGGAATAGGAAGGAAACTTAGCAGGAATGAGAGTTCCTCAGGAGGAGTAAGACGAGAAAGTAGAGGAAAACAACAAGAGCAGATCAGGTAGGAAAACAAGAAGTAAAGAAAGGCAGAAGTTAGAACAAAGCAGAAGAACAGGGAGCAAGAAGAAAGAAGTGATGCGAAGATTTTTTTTTTTAATTAACTTTTATCTTAGTATCATTTTTAGTTATCTTTTTGAAATTTTTGTGAGAAGCCAAATGAACCATAACCCTAAAAGCTCTAGGATATTGGAATGGTTTAACCTTTCCAAGGTTGAAACATTAGAATATATATGCACGCGTCGGTACTCGTTACTCGCAACTGTGGAAATAAAAAGTACTCTTAACATATAAAGTACTTACGAGTACCAATTACTGAGTACTTTGAGTACTCGAGTACTGCTCAGCTCTGGTTCTAATTAATTATAAATAGATTGATTATAGATTGATTATAAATAGAAAAACTATTAAAAATGATTTAAAAATAATTATCTTTTTTAATACACTCAAAACTATTGTGAATGAAATGAAGTTAAATATTTTTTTGTTTATTAAAATGTAGGATGACCATATCTCTTTAGACCCAACGCTGGATTCGAGAACGGTGAGGACCTTTTATTTAGGTCCTCGACTGAAAGATAAACCCAAATCAGAGAAGACGTTCTGTAGAGACTACTAGAGTGCCTTTTTTAAGTCCCCCAAGTCGTCTTTGCTGTTTCAGTATATTATGTATCACATATTACATTTGCTGGACAATTATGGCAGTTTTCTAGACAAATGCAGCGTTTTGCTGGACAAATATGACCTTTTGCTGTCAAGATCAAATGCTGGACAGACTTGTACGTATGGTCACCCTATTATAATGTTACATTATAGTAAATATGTATTTGTTTTAAATACATTATTTATTAATACCGGGTGTATATTTTTCACATTTCAAGAACTTGTATCTTCCAAACCAATTACAAAAATATTCTAATGCACTATAGGGTCACAGGTTTTATTAGGGTCCACCGGAAATGAAATTGTAACTGCATCGGGATATCTCAATTGGTTTGGAAGATAAAAGTTCTCAAAATGTGGAAAAATAGTGAGGTTGAAAAATGTAGTAAGACACCCAGTATAACAAAACAAATTAAATGGGAATGCTCCTGTAAATAAATACAAAATAGTAATTTCTATTTCACTGACAATAACACTAAGCTTATAAAATAGCTATTTATGCAACCAACTATGAAATGCCTTATTATATGTAAAGAGTTAAATATATTTAATACATAATTCAAAATTAACCTATTTGCTACCAATATACTTACAGTATCATAATTTTTCGTCTCTACTCCATGTTTGGTAACTAAAGAGACTTCTTGAGAGATTCCTCTAAGATCTAAAAAGTACATAATATAAAATATTTATACATCACCATTATAATTAGCAGAATATAATTTATCATATCTATTTAGATTGACATTAGAAATAACGAATTTTATCTACCTGCAATAAAACCGTAAATTTAAATTTGTATAATTTTATAGCGAACTGAATATTAAAAACAATATACATTCACCTTGATAAATACATAAATAGAATGTCTAGAATTGAAATAAATACATTACTTACTTTGAGGTACTTGTGATATGAAGCAAATTTCATAGGTATCAAAACTTTCTGTATTGAATGAAAATTTTCCCTTGGTAATTCCTTGCCTCTTTGCTAATGTGTGGCCTTTAGAATCTGTTACCTATTAAAAAAAAAAACATTCAAAAAGTAATCCTCATTATTTCTTTTATGTATGAAGTTAAAAATTCATCACTGATAAGATTGGTTTGTATAGGTATTTTTAATACTAATTAGGCTATTATTTGATAAATAAGGCTAAATTTACTAACTGCATAGATAATTGTAATTATCCAGATTATCCATTAATTTTGTAACCTTACTGTTATTGAAATTATTATCTTTCTTTTAAAAGTAAGTAGCTAATTGACACTGTCACCTACTATACTAACTATAATTACTACCAAAAATAAAAGAGATCAGTCTACATTAAGTGCAGTAAAATAGTATGTTCCTAGACTCGAACCAAAAATATTTAAAAAACTTCAATAGGGTACCCCGCCTAAGAGCAAATTTCTACATAAAACTTTATAGCAATAATTTTAGAACCTCTTTAAATTATAATTTTGTAAAGTTGATCAAAACAGCCTTAGGGAAATATGCAGTATTTGACCTGTTAACATATCAAACACTTTTATATAAATTTTAGGACTGTTTGTAAATTTATAATTAACCACATACTCACCAAGTAGTCTACAGATTGCCCGGGTGCTTCCGATACCTCAAACTCCCCAATAACAGGTATATTTTGTTGTAATTCCTCCCGCAAACATTTCCGGCTGTTGGGTTCTAAATTCCACATTATACAGTTCACAGACACTAGTAAACTTAAAAGTATGAAAATAATGTTCGAGAGATCCATTTTAAACGGCAAATAATGTGCTCAAATAAGAGAATGTTCATTAACTATTTTAAACTACACTTCTTAAAGAATTTACGATGAGGTGGCCATACTTTTTGCCTTTCGTTTGCCAAATGTCATAATGTCAATGTCAAACGTCACTAACGTCAGTGGCAAAAAGTGGAGTCTACGTCTTTGGTCAGTGGTCATTAATTACCATTATGTTTTTTTTTTGTTATAAATGCAATTGATGACAGGCCAATATTAATAAGAAAAGAAGAAGAGGATAATAAATCCTAACCTAAGAAACTTTTTCTTTCAGCCGCAATATTTTTGTTCGATAGTGAATTCAAATTATTCAATTAATCATAAAAAATAGTAGGTATGAAAAAGGACAAACATTCTAATTCGAGAAAAATAAAATCTAGAGACTCCTTTAATAAAGAGACAAGGGACCACAGTGAACCAGATGAAGATACTTCAGATAGTGAAAAGGGATATGTAACTATAAAAAAACGGATTTTACCGCTTCGCGCCACCCGTAATAACAGCAACAAAAATAACAAAATTGAAGCAATAGCAAGTATTAAATTAGATAAAGCAGATAGTGAATTGGATAAAGCAACTAGTGAATCAGTTGAAACAGATAGTGAAACAGTTAAAGCAGATCGTAAATCAGAAATTACGGACAGTATTCCTAAAGTAAGAAAATTGAGAAAGAAAAGCAAAGTTTTAAGTAAAAAAAAGTGTAAAAAACGTATTAGGAAACCGATTAAACCAGTTGGAATAGTCAATGAATTCAAGTTGAAGAAAATGTTGAAAAGTATTGATGGAAAACGTGAATTAAATGACAGTCAAATGGAATTTAAGAAATGTTTAGCACAAATGCATCCTTCATTTGAACCCCTATGGATAGGGCGACCCTATTTTATTATGAAGGCCATTAAGGAATGCTTGTTAAATAGAGATTGGGATAGTCTAACTCACTTGTTAATAGATCTTGTACATTTGAAAAGCAATATTTTCAAACCAGTTGTTAGGCATGTAAGCATAAATATAAATAATATATTATTAGATAGATAAAATAGTGTTTATATGTATTTTTTTTAGCTTTGTGCTATTATGGACAAGTTGCATCCCATTATAATTGAAAATGACTTGCAAGGTAAATTTAAGACAATTAAAAAGTACCACCAGATGATTATGGATGACACAACTGTGGTGTAGTTAAATTTGTTAAAAAAATTACATTGTCATATCTGAGAAACGTTATTGTAATATAAATTTTTCAAATTAACAGGGTTGTAAAGTTTTACAGATGAGAATGTGTAACAAGCATAGTTGTACCAACTCTTGGCATTGGTTAAGTATACAAGATACTATGGAGTCAATCAAAGACTATTTTTATGACCTATATCTGCTCTCACTTGCTCATAGTCTGGAGCTACTATGGAATTATTTAATGAAAATTTTTTGATGACAAAGCGATCAGTCTGATTATGAATCCCCCAATCTACAATTATGGCCCAATCACTTCAAGGCTACTTTTTTGTGTATAACTAAAAGTGTAATAATAAACTTTAACAGAGCTTGAGAATATGATCTGAACTTCAAATTACTCCTTAAAAATATGTCCTAAGTTTATCAGACTGGTAAATTTTAATGAACATTAGTCAATCAGTTGCAGCCAGTTGACACCATTGCAAACCTATCACACTTCACACCTAAGGATGCCAACATTATGGCGTTGTTGAACAGGAGAAAAAATTTAGTTAGAGAATACACAAAAAAAGTCTTGCTCTTCACTTGTTTTATTTTCTTCCAAATTCACCTGGTGGTCTGAATGCTCCAGTGCTAGAGCTATGTGTAACTGTTTCCCTCAGAGAAATTTAGTGTAACTTGGAACCAGGAGAACGATCTCCGAATCAATAAGAGTCTAAAATGACTGTTGACAATCCTATACACTTATGCTGTAAACATAAAAATTATGTTATTTAAAAATAAAAGGTTTCCTACTGAAGTGCTTTTCAAAGAGATTCAGTTATTAGACAGTTATACCTTAAAGCAGTAGTTAGATTTATGTTAAAATTTTCCTATTATAAGGAATCCATAAGCCATGGGCGTAACACAAGAAATGCAGCTCAAAACAATGTCACACGCCAAAACCATATTTATTGTCTTGGTCCAAAAGTCTTTAACTGCCTTCCTAATGATATTAAAGTAAAACCATATTCTAAGTGTAAAAAAGAGATAAGATAGTGGATACTCCAAAGCAATTATGTAATTAATTCTGTAGTTTAATTTTAAATAATATATCACACAATTACTATTCATATATATACTTATTTTACTCTTATTGAATTATTGTTATTACATTTCTACTACTTTAGTACAAAAATCTGTTATACTTAGCTTAAATAAGAATATATTTTATTTAAAAAAAAAAGTCAAAATGGTAATGGTAAAACCCGAGGTAAAACCTTAAAGATACATGTATAAGAAAAAGAGTGCACACACAGTACTTTAAGTACAATCATGCACTAGAGTAGAAGTTTTCATTTTAAATATTATTTAGAGGCTGACCTCAATTTAGGAATTAAGTAGTTAAGTAATAGAGTGATTTATTTGCTCTTGTTCCTATAGATAATTATATTACTGTTTAATATAAATGTAAACTACTACATTATATAAATAAATTTAAATTAAATAAAGAAATACATATATTAAGTTTATTTAATATATGAATAACTAAAAAACAAATTTGCTGTAGGGGTTTAAAAAAACTAATATTTATTAAAATCATTTTAATATGAAATGTATAAAAAAATGTTTTATTCTAAACACAGAATTCCTTCTTCACCATCAATTTTTCTGTCCTTGCCGTATTTCAACATATAATCCCTTTTCACTTGCGAAAACAACAAATCTGTGAGCAAGAATATCTGAGCAACAGCAAAACTTAGCGTCACTCCAAAATAGAAATTCGCGTTTGCTGAATTACAGTAAATCCACAAATAGTATAGTATCGGCGCTAAAGATGTTGATATTACCAGCATTGTACCGACCAAAAATCCTTGTTGGCTAAATGGAAACAAATGAGAGAAAGATGGCATTAAACTCAGCACAAAACCAACGTCTCCAACACTGGGATACGATTTGAAAATTGTTATAATAAAATTGACAGCTACAGTCAGCAAAAACGGGTGTTTTCTGAATTTTAGTGATACAGGTATTAAATACAGTATAGTTGTATTTATTTGGAATGCATAAATAAACAACTCCCTAAAGTGCTCAAACATTTCAGTGAAAAAGTACCAGAATAAGCCAACATTAGGCTGCAAGTCAGGTATAGTCAAAATACATCCATAAACACTTCTTATATAACTAAAATCCGTTCCAAAGTTACTACACAATACAAAAATTAATAAAGATGTTACTACAAAACTTGTTAGATTAACAATGATTTTGGTATGGCTTTTTATGGCGTATTTAAAATACATGGTAATGGGTAAGACTAGCACTACTGGATAAAAAGATACTGATGCAGCAATAGCTAAAAATACACCACAAAGTACTGGTATCCCATGCACCATTGAAAAAAGCATCACAGACAGATACAAATTATAAAAAACCGTTGTTGAATATCCAACGCAACTAAACAAAATGTAAGGATTGAATAAATAAGTGAGTAGTACGTAATATGAAGATTTAAATAACTTATCAGGCTTTAAAAAGCATTCTTCAGCATCTTTGGCATAGGTCGCTTTGTTTTCCTCTTCTTCAACGAATAGATCTTCAGTGAATTTCTTTGTGGTGAAATATAGCACAACTGCAGTCGTTACGTCCAATGTAATAAAAGCTAGATGGATTTTTCCTTGGAAAACTTGCAATATATTCTTGTACAGATACAAGGATAATGGTGTTTCATGTAGTAAATCACCCTCGTAAGGGTTGATGTTTAAAGACAGTAAATATAGTCCTTCTGAAACTCGTTTCCAAGAATTTAAGGGCGTTGATACTTCTACGTGATTTGCTATGACCGATTGGTATTTAGACATCATCAAATAGTACCTTACGATTATAGCTGAGAGGCATGTTATGATTATTCTGGGGGTGGAGATTAAGTTATTGTAAATTCGTAACTTTTTTAGAGACATGCTTGAGTACTATCTAATGTTTACTGTAATGTTTTAATAGTTTTTGATTTGACAGTTGTTTGTTGACTGGAAGAGGTTAGGTTGTTAATTAACTGGGTAATGAAGTTATAAAAGTGCTGTAAAAGAAGAACATGTCTTTACATATTTGGCAAAAAAACATAGAATCGTTTTATTAAATCAAGATAAAACTGTATTTTTAAACTTTTTGTTTTATAAATATATCTGCATTTGTTGAATACTTTGATTTTTTTGAGCTTCGACGATAGTTTCGTAAAGGTAAATAAAATTGCTGGATGTATAAAGATAAGAGACCAATTGTTCAGGGGTGGGAAACTGGTATGCGCAGGTCAAGGATCAATCAACCACGTCCGCGTGGCGCTGCAGTCGGGTGGTGGGGTAGGTGGTGGGAGTGTAAATGACAGGTGAATATTGATTTTGGGGGGGGTGTCATGGCGTCTTGGCTTAAACCAAACCAGGGGTGGGAAACTGGTATGCGCAGGTCAAGGATCAATCAACCACGTCCGCGTGGCGCTGCAGTCGGGTGGTGGGGTAGGTGGTGGGAGTGTAAATGACAGGTGAATATTGATTTTGGGGGGGTGTCATGGCGTCTTGGCTTAAACCAAACGTGTTTATTTATATTGGTGACTTTGTTGTGTTCAGTTGTGTTTTCATTTCCAATTTGCTTAATTGATTTAGTTGACCACTGTTAGTGAGCTTGTTTTTCCATTATAAATTTGTGCGTTTTGAACTGTTATCTTGTGCTTTTTCCGCTGTTATTTCGTGCTTTTCCATAAAGATGCGTAATTATAGAAAATGTTGTGTACCGAATTGCCTTGATGTGAACAACAAGATGCATCGCCTGCCCCACCCTAGGAATGAACCCGATTTATTTGAAATTTGGGCACTTGCTGTTCGTTGTCCAAGATTTAATAATAAAACAAAACTACAAATTTATTCCACCTTTGTAGTATGTCATAAACATTTTGAAGAGAAGTATAAAGTAGTTGGCTCTCGTCGAGGTCTAACACCTGAAGCATTTCCAACGCTATTCCTACCAGCAGTTCCTGGAAGAGTAGCGGATGACTTTCCTCAAATAACGTAGAAATTGAATATGTTGATCAAACACCTTCTACTTCAAGTAAAGGTTCGAAGCAGAAGCAGACTAATAATATATGTTGGACTTCTTTTCGAGAAGGAAAGTTAGTAATCTACTCATTTATTTTATACTTATACTGTGTATTTTCTGTTTCATGACATTTGGGGTTGCAAAGCTGTATCGTAGAAGAAGAAGCAGACTAATAATATATGTTGGACTTCTTTTCGAGAAGGAAAGTTAGTACTTATTTATTTTATACTTATTGCTGTGTTTGAGAATCCACATCAGATACATTTTTTACATCTCGAGCGTTTTTTTATCCACATACCTATATATAAAACGTTTATTTAGTCAAAAAAACTATTTTTTACATGTCAATACATCTTCACGTTTAAAATATAAAAAATACATAAATATAGAATCAACAATACATAAGATACAGTACACTTACATGTCAACTATACAAAACAATAAAAGAACAAGAAAGAGAAAAAAAAACGTCAATAGGTGAACAGGTATTCATGCAGTTTTATTTTAAATATTGCCACATTTGAAGAACATTTAATATCCTCAGGCAAATTATTAAAAGCCTGTACACCTTTAAAAAACACTGAATTTTGTGTACATTTTTCTTGCTACCTGTTTAGGTTCATGAACATCCTGATTATAACTTAAAATATTTTGTAAATATACTCTGGAGATTCCTGATTTAATTTTAAATATAAAAAGCAGGGAATAGAATAGCAAATATTTTTTAACAGTCAACCACTGAAGCACATTCAACATGGAATTGATTGGTTCCAATCTCGAACAGCTCAGTATTATCCTCAGACCTCTATTCTGCAACTTTTGCAATCATTGCAACTCATTCTGGTTGAGCAAATACAGTATAGTGGCACAATAATTAAAATAAGGTAATATTAAGAGTATTATAAATTATTATTTTAGTCCATTTGCCGAGATGTGGAGAACAGCGCCTCAAATAGTTTATTTTAAATCGGACACATCTGTCCCATTACATTTACGTAAATTGAATCACGTGATCAAAGATTTACTACATCTCAGTTGCATCCGATGTGGATTCTTAAACGCTGTGAAATTTGTGTTTCATGACATTTGGGGTTGCAAAGCTGTATCGTAGATGTTGGAAAAATAAAGTATTCCTCGGACTTATAATTTTTTATTAATACATTTATTTTAATGAGATTGTACTTATACTGTCTTTCTTTTTTCACAGCTAAAGTTCTTCACAAAATGATGGACAGTGTTGTATCCTGGAATATGTAGCAGTCATCCAGCTACTTCATACATAATACAATTTTCATATACATTACATTTTTTAAATATTGGATTTGTATTATATATATTCTTTAATAAATTTATTTTTTGAATATTCTTGTTTTTTTTTATCTAAAAACTGTTAGCCAAATTAAGATTTGTTCACACAAACTGCATTTTTGCTTTATTATAATAATAATTATAATAAAGCAAAAATGCAATTTGTGTGAACAAATCTTAATTTGGCTAACAGTTTTTAATGCGGATAATTTTTACTGTCAAATTTGAATAGCCCCGCGCTTTTCTTCTCTTCTTCTTTTTATTATTTTCTCTTCTTTCATATGGCCTCTTACTAGACAAGGACTTAATTGAAAAAAAATCAACCACGTCCACCAGGTGCCGCTAAAAACTCTATCATCCTTTTTTAACATGGGAGTTACCGTTCTAAGAGTAAGTGTTCTGTGCAATTGTTAATGAAGAATTATAATTGACAAGGGGGGCAGCCATGTGTGAGTTGAGGTAATTTTAAGGTGAAGGGGGAGAAAAAGTCCTTTATATCTCACAAGGAAAGTTAATGTTACATTAACATTAATTTTCCATGTGAGATATAAAGGACTTTTTCTCCCCCTTCACCTTAGAAGAATTATAAATTAGATTTTAATTTTCAACATTAGATGGCGCTAGTGACTCTATTTCCTGCAGTGACTTTAGGCATTTCTTTATAAGCTTACCAGAACATACTTCTGTAACCAGAGCATTTCTTTATAACGTTTGGTTACTCTGCTTTGGTTACATGTTACCAAAGCATATCTACATCTACATCTAACGAGGCATTTAAGGCATTTCGTTATAAGCTTACCATAACTTACTAGAACATACTTATGTAACCAAAGCAATTCTTTAAACGGTTTGGTTACTTCCATGACGTCATACGTTACCAAAATACGTATAACTACTACTAACCATGATGTTTTTAGGGGTAAGGTGTGTGGTAAGGTCAGTAAGGTCCACATTTAAACATATCGAGCATGCGCAAAGTATTGTAAAGATATTAAATTAGATACATTTTTCTGTGGTTACGGGTTATATGGTTCATTTTGTATATTTGGGTTGGGCATTTTTGTATTTACCAAAGAAAACTCTATTTACTATGAAAGAAATTATATTTGAAATACAGGGCACTGAAATAACTCTTCACGAGAGCGATGTTGATGGCCACTGGATACTGTTATTTATATTGAAATATAAAGATGAAAATATGGGACTACTGGCACAAGTATTTATCATTGTTATTTCATCACAAATAACACTTATTAATTTTTTTCTTTCTTTTGTTGGAGGAGACATATTTAAATAAATAACAAAAGAACGAAAACCAAATGACGTCTGTGACAAAAACACTTTTATTTATCTGAACAAAAACAAAGTAAACAAATCCCCAATTTGACATGTGACAACGACAAGTGCTACGAGTTACCACGGTATGTCTGACGTCATCAGAGTAACCACAACGCTGTTACGAAGTATGTCGTGTTAAGCTTATAAAGAAATGCCTTTATTTATAAGCTTACTAGAACATACTATATTAAAAAATAACAAAGTCAAAACATCCTAAAATTTCTAAAATACAAATTTCGTTTAGAAATCCCCAAACTTAAATTAAATTTGACATATGACATTCAATAATAGGGAAACCATGGTATGCGTAATGTCACCACAGTAACCACAATACTGTAACCAAGTATGTTGTAGTAAGCTTATAAAGAAATGCCTTTTATAAAGAATTGATATTTTAGGAATATAACCACAGCTTATTATTCATATCCAGCTAGAACACTCTCTTGGCGGGAACGGTTTGCGTCGATCCGTTCGCGCATGTTTTAAGCTCCGCCTTTTCGGGGAAAAGATGTCTTTGCCGTGCAGTCGGGAGATCGGTATTACTTATTCTACGTTAAGCGGACATAGCCGTGCGTATATTTTTGTGTTTAATTTGTAATTCTTTTGAACATTTGTGTTTTATGTTTATTTTTTACTGTAGTAAAATGAGTGACAAAAAACTATCAGGACATCATCATGTTTGTGCAGTGCAAAACTGTTTTAATAAAGGTTATAATTGTAAGAAGAAATTCTATTGTTTTCCTAAGGATGCTAACCGGTAAGTACTTACCTACACGATATTTTTTGCATATTTTGATGAAAAGTAAACTTTCCATTATTTGCTATGTTGTAGTAAAAGTAATTTAAAGTCATACAAAATCTTCTTTAATTATGAGAAGCTATGTTTGGCCTGTATAAATATATAGTTATTAATTTAATACTTGTTAAGGTAAAAGAGGGTTTATTGGTGGTTTTGTGTAATATTTTTGCAAATCGAAATAATAAAATGTGTATATCAACAAATATTAATTGGAAGCAAATAGATACAGTATGCGCCAGATCTAAAGAACCAAGGATGCGCATTTATAATGCTACTAACACGCCTACGGATGAATAGAATTGGTAGCTTACCTAGAAAGTTGTAAACCAGAGGTCCGTATATTTTAAGACATAAAATAAATGGAAAATATAGTAAATGATACTTGTTCATACATATTGCTTAGTGTTATTATTAGTACATAATTCTATA